AACATTTAGCAAGATCTAAAGAAAATATCATCCATCCCATCCTTGTGAGTCCAAAGTCCTATATGTAGCTTATCTTTTATCATAACTAAGGAAAACTATAATTATAACTATCTGTCTTCAACTCCATCAAAGACCACAGAAGGATAATATATAAACACTAGGATTGACAGAGACATCTTACTGCCTGGACAGTCACCTGAAGTTCCTCTGTATTGTCGGGGCATCCATTTTCAGCCCATAGGCCACAAAGTGTCTGGAATACTTCTCAGCAAAGCAGGAAATTTCACGCTGTCCATCTGCGTTGGCAGTCTGTCAGTCATTTTTCTTTGTCCTGCAGAAAGTCTCGTAGACTCTTCATCAAGCAGGAACCCTGTAAGACTGAGTTCAGTAGTCACTTTCCTGTGGGTCCTGCATGTCCAGATTATACAACAGCAGTCAAACAGTCTAGGCAAGAGGAGTTTCTTGCCCAAATGGCTAATCTTGCCACGTTGAAAGCAAACTCCATAACGAGTTTCTTCGATGCCCATCTTCCTCTCAGACATAATTGGTGCTGCCAGGAGCAGACATTTCTCATTGTCAAGAAAAACCCTAAACCATTTTAAATGCCATGTTCTGAAGGTCTTTGAGAGGTTTGAAGACTGTCCATCTCAAATATATTTCTGTATATCTAGAAACCTAACTTATGTAACTAGAAATTCTATTCTAAGTAACTATCTATAGTCTGTATTCAATTATGCATTACGTTGTAAAAGATCAGTATAAGCACAATACTTAATCAAGAGGAGAAATATAAGCATCACAAAATTGACCTTGATTTTGTCTCAATAAATGAAAAACAATACCCATACCATAATTCCCCTTTTTTACCATTAAAAAAATATTGGCTGTGATCATTAGCCAATTATAAACAATCCCATTTAAATGAAAACAAAGATTTATAAACAAGATGGGAATTGGGACGTCGCTCATTCCAAACTGCTTCCTGCTGGAAGGGGGCGCTGTTCATACCATGGGGATCATGACAAAACACAGAAACCTGTATCAGTCCGTATTTTCGGGGCCTGTAAAACTGCATCATCCTAGCTGTTTCAATTGTTGGAACATCTGGTCCACTGCTTCTGGGGGTCTTGGTTCGTCAAACCACAGAAGTCTGGAAGAAATCCTCAGCTTTTTATGTTCTGTGGAAACATAAGCAAAAACTCCTTTTCCAAGTAACATATCCTTATACTTAAATTTTGAAGTCAAGGCATTTTCAAAAGATAGAAGTTGGATTAATTCAGCAGCATTTATAATCAAGTGTACTTTAGCAGCAGTTCCTTCCTGAGCAAGCAAAAAACTGAAAAACACAATAGTGTACAGTATCCAGACTCTCTGTGTATTTTCCATCTTTGTGTGGCTTATTTATTTATCTATTATTATTATTACTCTATTTCTTTCACTTTTGTTTATTTTTCTCTGAGACAGGGATTCTCTTCGGAAACCTGCCTGCCTCTGCCTCTGGGGCAATTCCTACCTGCGTGCGCCACCACAGCTGGCTTTTGCATTTATTTACCACTTTGCCGTTTCATTTTCTCTCTCAGTCTCACGTATATTTTTAAACACACTGTAAACCTTTAGAGGTTTTGTTCATCCAAGTCTGACTTTACTGTAAATCTTTATGTTTTTCTGGCCACGTGTCTTATCTGTAAAACCCACTGCTGTTTTAAACTGCCGTTTCAAGATGGCGGGCGTAAGCGTGACTCCAGCTACCGCCTCAGTCCATGCTGACCTCCAGCAAAAGCTGCCACTTCCAGCTGTACGTACACACCTTTCAATCGTTAGCAGAGTCTCTTAAAACAACCTTGCTGTTTTGTTTTGTTTTTTTTTTTTTTTTTATGCCGAGTCAGGAAGACTCCAGTAAGTGAGCCACGTGAATCTCGGCTTGTCGCTAGCAAAACAGAGCACACCTGAGAAAAATGCTGCTACCAAAATCTGTGCTTCTCTCCGTTTTCTGTTTCTAAAATTCTTTTAAATCTTTTGTTATTTTGCGTGGAAATTCATGATCCCACTCCTGATCACCATTTTGTTAAGAAAAGCTTTCCTTGAGAGGAGCCTTCCCGCCAGCCTGGTTCCAGAACCGCATCAGTCCCAAATAAACACACAGGCGGCTATATTCATTATGAAGCTGTTGGCCTTGTTTGTCCCTTACTGGCTAGCTCTGCATTAAGTAATTACCCCATAATTGTTAATCTAAGTATGTTTCTTACCGGAGAATAGTTCCCGGCTTCCTACCCCATGTAGCTACATCTCGAACTCTCTTGTGTGTCTCCTTCCCAGAATCCTCCTGGACTCCTAGTCCCTCCTATCTAGGTTTTCTATAGGCTCAACAGTACTTTATTGACATATACACAGGACTTCCCCCAACATTAACTTTTGTTTTATTGGGGGCATGCAGGGGCAGATGTAAAGGGACAGGAAAAGGAATGGGATCAAAGTACATGATGTGAAAGATACATACAGTAAATTTTAAAAGTCTTACTAAAAAAAAGGGTTAAGATAAATTTAGCTGATTACATCATCAAGACCCTGGGCTGGGCATTTGAGAAGGAGTTAGCCCTCCAGTTGGATGAGTCATGTCATAGTTTATCACTGTAATTCGCTGCAAATCTTCAAATACCAGCACCACAATGTTTTCTATCTTAAGTCAAAAGCCCTGGATGAATTTTAGTTGGCCAGAGTAATTTCGGGAGAATGATAAAGTCCTTTTAAAGCTCAGTATTGCCTATGATGGTTTGCTTTTTTTCAATTAAAGAGTTTGTATTGCATATGCAGGCATACTTGAATTATGAAGAAAATTTAATTTAAAATATATAGCTCACTGAGAACTATGAGTGAGAGTAGAGTTGTGGATAATGAAGTGCCATATCACAGTAAGTAAAAACAAAGGGAGGAGATGAAGGTGTCCCACAGATGGGGCTGTGATATGCTCATGTGCAGGTGATCAGTCAGAAGGTCCTCTGATTAAATTTAAAGAATGAAATGAGAAGTAAGAATCATGACAAATTGTCATAGGAAATATTTAATTGTTATGAAAGCCACAGGTTGTGTGTGTGTGTGTGTTAATGTATGAATTATTTTCTTTATTTTCATTAGTGTACTAAAGGAAACTAATGCATAGGTTGGTAGGGTTAAATGAGGAAGACAGATGTGTGTGGCTCGCTGTGAAACCCTGGGACAGCCGTATCAAAAGCTGTTTCTCTTCTGTCGAGTGAGGATAATATAGTCGACCTCACAAGGCTAATGCGAGAATTAAGTGAGATGAAGTGTGAAAGCCCCTGTTAATAACACCTGCCTGATATTAGAAACACTCATTATTGGGACTCATTATTAGGGACAATATCAGCAATGCTAAAACCAAAGACTCTCTCTTTTATAGAGCATTACATTTGATATTTGAGAATATTGGGACGCCCAGATGATATAACAAGATGTACAGAAAGAGTCAGAGTTGCAAACAGTTCTGTCAGGAAGATACGTGCCAAGGAAGGACAGCTGGTCAAATTACATTTGCTTCAAATTAATCTTCCCCATAATTGCTGACATATTAGGAATCCAGGAGACACTCAGCCTACTAGCCACCCTGATCAAATACTTCTTGGCAATGTATACCTTGGTTATAATTGAGATTTTCCTCCAGGTGCTCCTGATGTGGTTTTCTATGAGATGAATCTCCTCTGTGAGGAAGCTCCTGTAATAATATCAGTTGAGAACAGATATGTAATGTCTCCACCGTTGTCTTAGAATAGGGCAATCATAAGGCTTTTGGGAACAGGGGCCACTGAGCTGGTAGCTCAGCAACTGAAAGTACTTGCTGCTGAGCATCATGCTCTGAGTCCCAGCTCTGTAACCTGCATGATAGAAGAACGCAACAACCAAGAGTGGTCCCGTGATATCCCCCACATGTGTGCCATAACATGTGCCTGTGCGTGTGCACACCACACACACACACACATGCACACACGCACACACACACTCACACACGCACACACACTCACACACACACACATGCACACACACACACCAAATAAATAAGATGTAGCTAAAAATATTTTTTAAGATTTTGAAAATAACATGAAGACTCTTTTTTTTTTTAAGGGAAATACTCATTGTTTGGATCTGGCTGGCTTATAATTTACCAGTCTGGTCTTGACCTATATACATCAAGAGAGGACTATATTAAAAACAAACTACAGCCATATGCACTACCTTTCCTCAAAGTGCCTATCATGCTGGTCCTGATTCCTTTTTATGTTATGCTTATTCACATTTATGGACAGCAGGATGGCAAGTAGATTTCTCATTTATGGTGATGGCAAATACTTGACACAAATATGTGTTTTATGAAGGATTACTTACTCTCAGTATATAAATCATCACATGACAGACTCACATCACTTTTTCAGCATTTTATGAAAGGGCAATTCTTGGTATCTTTCAAGTAAATTTTTATTTGTCACTACCTAGGACAAAGACAGGAAGACTGGAAATGGGTCCCTTATGCATTCACCCTTCATATCATCTCACACACCCTGGGCAATGCTAAGGTGACTTTCTCATCCTACAGTGGTAGACCACTTCCAGGGGATCCTGGAAGTCTCGATCTTGTTTGCTATATTCACAGTACACATGGAAAGATAATATAAGTTGGTATTGGAGTGCATTTGGTTGTGTTTTTTCAGGAGGGAGGTTTCAATGCAGGGTTTGGAGGCTGTCCTGGAACTAACTACCTCTTGTAAAACACATAGGTCTTGAACTCACAGAGATCTGCCTGTCCCTGCCTCCCGAGTACTGGGATTAAAGGCGTTCAACACCACATTTAAGGAGTGTGTGTGTGTGTGTTTGTGTGTGTGTGTGTGTGTGTGTATGCGCACGCTCGTGTTCATAATACCCAAAGCTATTTCCATTTCATGCTTTAGATCAAGTAAATATTTTAAATGTATGATTATAAATGTATTTTCCAGGTCTGAGAATGAATAAGGGTGCCATCACCCCTCCGCGTTCTTCTCCAGCTAACACATGCTCCCCAGAAGTGATCCACCTCAAGGACATTGTCTGCTATCTGTCTCTCCTTGAAAGAGGAAGACCGGAGGATAAACTTGAGTGTATGTTTCGGGAATTGTGTTTGCTCCCCAAGCTGGGGGTGGGAGGAGAGAACTCTGTGTTGATGCAATCATAATTACCTAAATTGTTTTTCACCTAAATGAGCTTGGTTAAAAAAGAAAATACCTTTTCTCATAGTCAAACAAACAAAAAGTTAATATTAACTTCAACTGAAAATTCCTCTTAATTAGAATTCTGAAACATTACATTTTGATAAGAAATATTGAAGGTTAGTTACTATGAAATGAAATTATATCCATTTCTAATAATGTATCAAATTTCATTTGTTTCCATTGACCTTGTAAACATGTCTATGTATCATATGGCTTCTAAATGTTTTCTCTCAGGTTTTGGGGCAGTTAACAAGAAGCAACTAGAAACTTTGAACTTTTTGAAAAAAATGCTCTACCAAATGCCAAAGTCCTGTTATATGAGGAGGACTTCCCTATTTCCCTTCTATACACTCATGCAAGGACACACACACACACACACACACACACACACACACACACACACCTTATACTCTTCATGGCAACATCCCTTCGATATCAGGTTAAAACTGTCTTTGGCAGAGAACAATTTCTCAAATGTCTCATCTATAGGTCTTGGTTCTGTATGCTATAAATAATTAAACAGGTAAACAGGTATCTTTGTTTCTTCTTCAATGTGACAAGTAGAATCTTTTCACAAACTCAGTTAACCCTCTTTAATAAACTGTGGTGACTGAGCTCTCTCTGGTGGTAAAGCATACACACTGCAGTGAAAGAGTATTCTCAAACATTGATTCTGGAACTGATCATTAATACCCTGGGCTCTCAGTAAAGCTTGTTATCACTAAAGCAGTCACTGTATACTCAGAAATTAGATTAACCAGATTATATTAGAGATCATTAAAATTTTACTACTGAATGAAAATGAAGATTATAAAACCAAAATTCAGAATTTTTAATAAAATTTAAAATACTGTAATGAATTGAAATTATAACTACAAAGAAATTTAATTAAATTAATGGTAACTTTTTGTTATTTCTCACATGTAAAGCATTTACTAAGCTTTTTTAGGAGTCACAGCAGCTTAGGTCCTGAATAAACCATAGGAGAATTATTTTTTAAATATCTATTTATTATTCATAAACATTAAATAACTTCAAGATTTATTTTGTATTCCTAAGAAGTTGTTAGAATCTCTTTCCTTCCAAGTAAAACAGTGAAATTCTATTGAAGTGATGGCCAAAATGTAAGTTTGCTCAGGTGTCCTCACTGCCACATGTGCGATGTTGAAGATAAATATATTTCCAGATCTGAGAATTAACAATGGCATCTTCCATCCCCCCTAAAAGGACCTTGGCACTGCAATTTTATTATTTGCAAGCCAACTAGGAGAACGTTTTGGATCCATAAGAAGCATGCTTCTTGGTTCCGTTCTTAAAGCCACACATCCTTTGTCTATAATCTCAGGTCGGGCATTCACTTATTCTGAAGCACTGGATGACTCCAATAAAGCTGACTTGCTACTCGCTTTTCTCCAGTGGCTTTCTTCTTTGTTCTTTGAGGTTCCCAGGTCTTTTTCAAGCATGCAGCTTACTGGGTGCCATTTGCCGTTTTCCTTACTTGACACTTATACAAACTAACTTCTGTGTCCTGGCGATAGTACCTCGGTGCGCTGGCGATAGTACCTCGGTGCCCGGGTGGTGTTACCTTGGCACCCTGGCATTCTTATACTTTTTCTCAGACTGCCCAAAATACACACGTGCTCCTGACTGTGTGGCCATCACTCTGAATATATATCACCACATTCAAGAATTCTATGGTTTTACTTTTTCTTTTTAAATGTCTGGTATTTCCCCACATCGATGAATAAAATCTACTCTTCATTCACTTCCTTAGCAATTTGTGGGTTTTAACCTGTCCTTGTTTGCACATTTATGAATTCCTAACATTTTTATAGTTTCAGTTCCTAGAATTAATTGTAATAAAATGTACATTGCTAGTGTCTAATGAACTACATTGCATAGTTACTTAAAGTTATGCCATTTTAAACATAACATGAACCCTAACTAAAAAGAAGAAAAGGCAATTAAAAAGGAACAGAAGTGAAGACAATGAAAACAGAAAATTGTTACTTGTGGAGGAGAGAACTGAATTTACATCTTCCTTCTGTGGTAGATCACCAAAATGGGATGGAAACACCTGGGTTCAGGTCAGATGTTCCCATAAAATTACCCACCAGAATGCCTTGCAGGGCCTGTATGTTACTGCATTTCCCAGGATGAGGGACCTGACAATTTTCTGATGAGAAGGAATGTGCATGAGACACTGCTGCTTTTCGCCTAGGATCCCCATTTAGAAGAGGAATGGTGTCGCACCTGCTGTGCGGCCTGCATCCGAGAATGTAGCGAGGTGTTCGGGATAGATGACACAGAGACCGGTCGGTTGCTTTAAGAAAACTTTATGCTTCCCAAGTCAGCTTAGGAGGAGACCCCAGTCCGCTTAGGAGAGAGCTCTCTCAGGAGAAGTCTCTCCAAGAAAAAGGAGCTTCCCTTTTTAAGGTCTTCTGCCATCCATCTACATACAATTCCTTCCAGACTTCTCACCCTCCTGGCTAGTGGTTTAATCTCAGGCCCCAGAATCGGGGAGACACCGCAGGGGAGACAGGAAGAGGCATCTAGCCGTAGGGGGTGTGAAAGTCATGGTATCTCAGTGAGCGAGTCCTTATCTGAGCCCTATCAAGAGCTTTAAAGCACTGAATTGTTTTCAGTAAACATTACACAGCTGCCTACTCCCAGGCCGAAGGGGAAGTGGGTTTCTGCTCAAGGTCTGGTGTCCCCACAATTCACCCCTTTTTATTTTTAAATGAGGCACTCCTGGCTTAGGTCAAGTAGGGTCACCCTCCCTGGCCCGTCTTTGGGGGACCTTGAACCCCTGTCTTAGGTGGGAGAGGGTCTTCCCCACAGGTTGCCCGTCTTTTGAGTGGCCCCACCCTTAGAATCATCTGTAATAAGGCTTTATGGCTATCAGGATTGCCATGGGCTAAGGCACTTTGAACTCAGCAGGAAGCCAGAATGCCTACTGTCACTGTTACCATTCCTAGGACCCCCACTGACATAGCGCCTCTCTGTCATCTGCCCATCCCCCCATCTGGGCCTTAGTATTCTATCACCAGCCTTTCTTTGCTACAAGGGTGATTTATAGTTACAATTTGACGGTCAAAACAGTGATAACGTTTACAATCATTTTAAGATCTACTTAGGAAAGCATTAGAGAGTGCACTTGCACAGATACATTAGGTACAATCATTGATGTTACACATGTAGCATTATAAAAAATATGAACAAGAGGCTTGTGCACTATTTACAGAGTACCAATTTGTTCCTGTGGTGATGTAATCTGTCGATTTAATGTCAGTAGTATCAGCCGAACATGTAACCCGAGTCAAAGTCTTTTTGTCGCACCAGGACAAACCACATTTCTCCAGAAAAACACACTGGCATAGGTGTGATTCCAGAAACAGGAACTACCAAGTCTGATATTTCAAGTGACCATGTCCTGTTCAAATACTGAAAAGAGGCTTTTGCCACTCATCACAGTCCATACCAATGTCCAAATGTTTTAAATGGGTCCTTTTTCCCCCAAAGGGAAAAGCTGGCAAAATGAATTCTGTTGTTTTAAGGTGTATCAAAGGCTAGCTGCTAATCTTCCAGTTTTGTTGGCTTTGGGATAAAAACTCATGGGTCCAGGAGGTTGATGTAGCAAGCCTGATGAGAAACTGGAAATCTCGAACTGACTGTTTTATTTCTTTCTTGGGCTGTAGATTTGATGACATCAAGGGTCAGGAACACCGACTTAGGAGATCTCGAACTGGCTTGAGCAGGCTCCCACGGTCTCAGGTCCAGTTTTCTCTGCTCCATGCATCTCACCAAATGTTGTGACAGCTACTGAAGCTTTATTCTTTTTCTGTAAGAAAACACAAACATGCCCTCGACCCCAAATTAGGGTCTTCCCTACTGTCTAGTGTATGGATGTTTCCATTTGACCTGAGCAATAGTTGTTTAACTTCCATCACGTCAGAATCTGTCTGAAGCAGATTCCTCACTGGCATTTACATTTTAAAAATTTTTAAATGAGGAGTGGATTATTTAATGAATCATGTGGGGACTGGGGATATTACTCCCCCTTTTATTTTTAAATTTTGTTTGAACTGTTGAATTTGGACCATAACAGTAGAAGGATTTGTCTACCCTCCTTAGTCAACTATCTAGGTGAATTGGGATCACTATTTAAAGTATTAGTATGTCCTTTAAAAGGGACATAACCATTAAGTACCTTTGAGAATCATTTAAGGATTGTAAACTATACTATGTCCCAAATAGTCCTTTTTTTTTTTTTTTTCTAACCTGTAGCTCTCACTAGCTGACAAGGCCTCATTTGCATCTGAGCTGACAAGGCCTAATTTGCATCTACACAGACACCTTTGGGGGTGGGGGCCTGCCAAAGCGGCAGGACAGTTCCCTGAAAAACCTCTCTCTCTCTCTCTCCTCTCTCTCTCTCTCTCTCTCTCTCTCTCTCTCTCTCTCTCTCTCTCTCTCTCTGACTGGCTCTGAGGGCTTAACTTGAATTTTTTGTTAAAATATTAACCGACTGACTGGATGTTTCTTTTGGCTATATCTAAATCAATTTAGGTAGTTTTTAACTGTTTGAAGGGATTTAAGTATCCCTATAATCACATCCAAGGCAGTTAGAACAGTTGCTTTTGTCAACATTTACGCATTTACATTCCACACTTCATACATACTGACGTGGCCACGTCCATACACACAGACCATGCATACATATCTCTCCTTTTGCCTAGGTTATGATTAGTTTGTTGAACTGAAACTTCTTTAACAGAACAACTCCAGTCAAACTTTTAATTAAAACAAAAGGTTGAAAAAGTCCTGTATGTCCCTCATCATTTCTTCATTAGAGAAGTTTTGAGCTACACTCAGGGGCTACAGCCATACCC